TATTTCTGTGTATTTTATTACCTTTTTAAAATTTTTAATGACCCTACAATTAGTTTTCAAGTTACATGCAGCCATCATATAAATGACCACATAATTAAGTAAGATGAAAAATAATAAGGTTTCCTGTAGTGACAAGGAATCCCATATCATGGTGCTGAGATGTGAGTATCCAATCTTTTATTCTAGCCCAATTAGTTTTAGGGACTTAATCTTCTTTGGAATATTGTGAACATGCATACTGGCAATCCATGTTGACATTAAATTTTTATAAATGATTAAAGATAATTAATTTGTAGTTTAATTTTATCCCCTCAAAAATGAAATGACTGCAAGAAAATTAAACAAAAACTTATTGTATCCTTTCTTTGCACAGTTTTATATGTAACCTAGAATTAAGATCTTAATGCCATTTTTAAAATTTAATTTTGCCTTTAGTATCAACAGTAAAAAGTCTTAACAGTTGTAAAAAGGGAGAATCAAATTTGGCAGTGCAGATAGTCTTTGGCACATCATCCACTAGTGAAGGCCTCAGGTTAATACCACCATGGGAAGAGTTTCTAATGGGATCATAGTCATCACTATCTCTTTCTGCATGGTCTACAGTTCAGTAGAAATGGGATATGAGAATGAAAAATAATTCTTCATTTTCTTATTTTAATTAGTAATAAAAAATGAATTTTAACCTCTGGATATATTGAGTAATTCTTTTATATTAACAGATTAGAAAGACTCAGTAGCCATTTTTCTATACATAAGAAAAGTTGCAATATGTAATAAAAATAAGTCAGTGAAATAGAATCTAATGCTAAATGTGAAATAAGTATATAAAAACTTTTCTTCTAGGGAATTGAAAAATGACATTGCTATTTTTTAGAAAAGTATGCTTAAATTATGGCTATTCCATTCACTGCCTCAATCAAAGATGACACTTTTTTTTAGTAAAAGATAGATATTTGTAATTTTATTCTTATAGAAGAATTTCAGAGATCATTCTAAGTTGTATCACATGTAAAAAGTGAAATGTATACTGGGAACCAGCAATTAGCATAATGGCTATGTCGCTGGACTCCCACGTAGTCGACCATGGTTCGCGTCCTGGACCTGGTGGCCTAAAACTCACGCCGGACGCATGTGCGTGCGTGCCCAAGATCCCGAGAGGAGAATGGAGGAGAAGGGATTGCGGCGTGACCATCCCCCCTGGGGGGT